TTTCTTTGACTTCCCACCGGGGAGTGAGACCCTTGAGAGGAGGGCCCGTACTCTAAGCACCTTCAAGTCTTCCTTTGAACGTTGCTGGACCCAGAGAGACAATTTTACGTTTCCCCACATCACGTTCTCCTTCTGCCAATTTCAGAATTGCTTCTTAATTAACATCTATTTCTGGATGTTTACTTCGGACATCTTGGAGGTGGCATCGCTTTATAAACGCTTTGGGCAGTGGGTCACATTGGCCCAGAGGTAAGAAGCTATTCCAGAACCTTTTGTTCCCCTTCCCTCGTCCCCTTACCTCCCAGCAACCGCTCCGCCTCCACATCACAAGTCGGAAGTTCTGGTTTCTCTCTAAGCCGTCATGCCAACTCGGAACTTACACTTCCTTTCTTCTACTTCCCGCTATCCATTTTTACTGATTTCTCCCTATTCACGATGTATTTTTAAAGTTAAGGGCATGGAGAATGGACATAGTGTCTTATTTGATCTGCCTTTTTTTTTTACTCCCTGCCATATTAAACTTCTTAAAATAACTGATGATAGTTTTCAAATCCTCCAATTTACGTCTTCTCTGGTCCTTCAAGTGTTTAACACGTGACCCGGTTTTCCGATTCCACTACCCTGATCATCTCTTTTGTGTCTGCTGTCATATGACTATATCCCTCTTACATGTGATGTTCCCCACCTGACTCCTTCTGCATCGGGGGTATGACTCTTTAGAAAAAAATGATTACCTATCACTTTGAAATATGTATTAATAAAAATGCGTTTGGCTGCTAATGGCAAAATAACTAATCACAGTAATGCGAAGAGTATTATCTTCCTTACAAATAATACAAGAGGATAATTCCAGGGCTGGTCCCTACAGGAACTCAATACTTCTGGGATTCTGGAACAGCTGCCCTCAGAGTCATGGCCTTTCCCCGCATATGGACAACAGGGCTGCCAGAGCTTCAGGCGTCATGTCTTCATATTCATTACTCGGCAAGAAAGAAGCGGAGGGGCACTCCGATGCCGTTCTCTTTTTACCAGAGGATAGTAAAACACACACACACACACACACACACACACACAATGAAGGAAGACCTGGAAGGAGATAGATTGACACCGTGGCTGAGAAATTAAGGGCTCAAATATAATAACCATTAGGAATTTGGCACAAGGACCAGGGAATATTGCATTCTGTTGTGCACGGGGTTGCTTTGAGCTGGAATGAACCTAACAATAATCTTGTTCCTAGAACCATTCCCAAAGACTTCCATGACTCTCACCAAAACGGATCATGTTTGAGAATAGAGGGGAATATCAGGGTTTTTCAGTCAAGAGAGAAAGGATTGGGAGTTTCAATGAACAGGGTTGGTCCCATAGATAGAAGCCCCTGGCAGTAGAAAAAGATAAGATTGGCCTGAGTAAAAATTCTTGTCAATGAGGAAAGCCTGTCATACCCACAGGTCATAAAATCCACTGCTTAGAGCAGGCAGGCAAGGAATAGATGTGTTAGATGAACTCAGCGAAGGTAAGGTCAACTGGAGAGCACATGTCGTGTGTATCGAGGAAGACCAACTCCTAGTCCTCCCCCCCCCACTCCAGTGCAGAACGCCAGCATAAAGGTCCTTATGAAAAAAACAAACAAAAAAAGAATTTTATTTTTCTATACTGGAAATACCATGACTTAGATAAGGAAATTCTGAAAAACACCGAAGGGGGGAAAATCAAGCCTTGTATTGCAATTGTAAAGGATTATAAGGGGGAATACTGAACAATGCAGGAAGTATTAGAAGATGAAAGGAATATACAGAATCACTGTATACCAAAAATAATTTGTTGACATCATGACCCCAGTGAGTCTGTTTCTGAGAACATGGTTGTCCGGGCAGGAGACGGCCTGAAGGAGCGTTTTGCCGTGGAGACAGCAGTGGCCGCACGCATGGCAGGCATGCCGATGGGGTAAGGTCCCAGGTGCTGCTCTGCGACTTGGCGTTGTTGTTGCACTGCAGCTCACCGCAGATGCCTTTCCAGTCTCTGCACGGCTCGAGCTGTCCCTTCAGCTGCTGCGCACTACCTCCCTGCATCCACGCTCTGCCATCTCCGTGCCCTAACCCTAATGTGGGACATCCAGAGCGTTTTCTTTTCTTTTTTTTCTATTACAATGTTTTAAAGAGCTTCTCTCTACAGGCAGCTAGCCTGGCTGGTAATAATAGTGTTTCCGTAGGATTGTTTTATGGACTGAATGATATCCCCCCAAATACGTGTGGGAAGTCTTAACCCTGGAACCTGTGCTTATTCTCCCATTTGGGACTGGGTTTTCTTTGCTCATGAGACAGTTAATGAGACTGGGATAGGATCTGTCTTAAATTGATCTTTTCTAAGATATAAGAGAGAGGACACAAGTAAGTGAGTAAGCAGAGAATGAGAGGAGAGATGTCTAGTCACATGGAAATCATCCAGGACCAGAAACTCGAAGAGACAGGGACCTTTCTCCAGAGCCAACTGAGATAGAAAGTCTGGCCTTAACCAATCACACAGAAGATAACATTTTCCTTAAATCAAAAACAATTAGTGGACATTCAACAGCTTCAGGGGGTGTTAGATCAAGAACCAACAGTACTGATGAAGAAGTCCAAGCTGCACTGGGAGGCATTGATGAAAAACAAAACTCACCATTGTTGGGTTGATTTGGACTCAGAATTGACCCTATAGTATAAAGTAGAACTGCCATAGGGTTTCCAAAACGATAAGAAACATTTTCAAAACTGTGAATCTGTATAGACTCGGGCAGAGTGGCTAATGAGTGTGAGCCGCAACATTAGCAGTGCAATGTTTAACCCGCGTTAGAAACAGGCTCCAGGAATTGATGAAACACCAATTGAGATATTTCAACCAATGGATGCCAATCGGGAAGCGCACTTTTCTACACCTCAAAACCTGATAGATACCTGGATCTGACTGCTAATCCCACAGCCCCCAAATCTCCAAACACCACAATGTCCTTGGTGTTTGGGGCTCCCAAGGCCGACCTCTCAGCAGATATGCTTTTGAGACATTTAGAAACTTTTAACAACTCCCATTCCGCCTGGCTCCCAGTGGGAATCAGCCCAGCTCTGTTTCTTGAGCCCAGTCCAATACTTCTCCCCGAGGACAGTTCCTTTCTCCAGGGTCACACCCGGGAGAGGGCACTGAGGTCTGGGCAGGGGCTGGCAGGCTGCAGAGCTGAGGAGAAAGGAGCTCCCAAAGATGCACGACTTGAAGGCTCTCGCATCTGGGCCACAGGAAGGTGAGAGACCCAGGGCTTCCTCATTGCAGAGCGGCCCCCTGTCAGAAGGACCAGACAACCTCTGCTGGAGGGTGGGAGAAATAGAAGATGACATAGACTTGCGGGTAGTAGGCCTACAGTCTGAGGAGAACATTAGGAAGTCCTAGCAGGGGGAAGGTGGTATTGAAAACAGCTGCTTCAGGGGGCATGTAACATGCGGCTTTTAACCAGCAGACATAGAACTTGCCTTAGGATTTAGAGGGCAAAGGCTAAGCAAACTCCTTCCAGAATTCTCCACTGAGTGAAGGTAACATACTTATCTACTTCATACATTAAATTAGCAAACGTGATTTTTGAGCAACTGCTAAGTCCAAGTTAGGACCCTCGGTTATTGTCCTCCAGCATTGGATGGCAGGAATATTGATCAGGAAGGGCTGGAGACTACATTGTCCTGCTTCATAGAACATGCTGAGGGAGACTCACAGAGCATTTGATGTGCCTCCACAGGAGCCCTAACAACAGTCACACGAAGACTAAGTAGGAAGAAACCTGATCGGGTCTGAATTTTTAAGTCTCCTAGGCAACAGGATGGACGACAGACTAGAGAGGAAGCAAAGGAAGCAGAATACTAGAATGAAGGGTCTCTATTCAATAACCAAGTGAACGGTCCAGATGAGAAAGGCTGAGTATAAGGCAGGGCAGGGGGGTGGGCGGCAATTTACCCTCTCACCTGGTCATGACTGTGTCTCTCCCTCCATCTCCTCTGCCATCTGTCGTTCCATCCTCTCCTCCCACTTTTCATCCCCCTCTTCACTCGCTCTATGCGTCTATCTCCCTTCCTACAAATCACCTTCACCTATTTCCATTTCTCCTCTTTCATGATCTCCCTTTCTCTTCTTCCCTTGGAACGTTGCCCTTTCAGAAAAACTCCCAGAATCCAACCTTCATCATCCCTTTCTTAATTGGCTGACTCCTCTTCCCTTCCCCGGCTCTCCTTAACAAACCCACCACACGCATCCTGATCTCATCCACCAAGGTGACCCTATGTTGGGGAGGCCAACAGGAAGGCTTGGTGTTCAGCTTTGTCCAGAGACTCATTTACATTGCCTTGCCCACCCTGTAATATTCACGCCCCCTAGTAACCCACGCCTTGTACTTATGGGGTCCTAGGGTGTGCGCGGTGCAATTGTAAATCCAGACTGCTGCCATTTCAGAGTTTGAATTGTGTGGAGAAAAAAACAACCACCATAGAATCATGCAAAGTTCGTTAACATTATCATTGCTGTTTGGAAAATTATTTGGTACAAAACTTATTGGAAATTTGAAGAAAAAGAAGATGTGTTTACATTAGGAGACTTCAGAGGGTTAAGAAGCTAGAAACCTTTCTATATGTCATTCTCCTGTAGCCTCGCTCCATAAAGAAAGCAACGGTGTGTCCACCTTACGGGTGCTGACACCGAGACCCGAGGACTACGTACTTACTCAAGGCCAACTAGCTGGAAGTGGAAGACGTGATCTGAGTCCGTATCTATTATCTGAATTCCAGCATCTTCCCACTACATTACACGGACTCCATGGAATTCTTGGAGGATTCTGGGTTCATAGGATTCTGGGTGGCGGGCTTGTAAACTGCCCAGAGAGAGAGTCCTTAATTAATACCTGGTATTGAGATTGGCTCTTGAGGACTCGCACGGACAGTGTCTATGCACGGAAAGGGCAAGTAGTGACTTTGAGCAGCTATGAGTGTGGCTCGTTTTCCGTAGATGGACGGGGAACATAGCATGGAGCCAGACAACCGCACGTGGGTCTCAGAATTTGTCTTCCTGGGCCTCTCCCAGGTGCGAGAGCTGCAGCATTTCCTGTTTGTGGTCTTCCTGCTGGTCTACACCACAACTGTTGTGGGGAACCTCCTGATCGTGGTCACCGTGACCTCTGACACCCGGCTGCACACACCCATGTACTTTCTGCTCCGGAACCTGGCTGTCCTAGACCTCAGCTTCTCCTCAGTCACTGCCCCCAAGATGCTGGTTGACCTCCTCTCTGAGCACAAGACCATCTCCTACCAGGGCTGCATGGCTCAGCTCTTCTTCTTCCACTTTCTGGGAGGTGCCATGGTCTTCTTCCTCTCGGTGATGGCCTACGACCGCCTCGTTGCCATCTCCCGGCCTCTCCACTATGTCACCCTCATGAACACCAGGCTCTGTGTGGGGCTGGTGGTGGCCGCCTGGGTTGTAGGCTTTGTTCATTCCATCTCCCAGCTGGTGTTGATGCTCCCGCTTCCGTTCTGTGGCCCCAATGTGCTGGATAACTTCTACTGTGATGTCCCTCAGGTACTGAGACTAGCCTGTGCTGACACGTCTGTCTTGGAGTTCCTCATGATCTCCAACAGTGGGGTGCTGGATGCCATCTGGTTCTTCCTCCTCCTGATCTCCTACTCGGTCATCCTGGTGATGCTGAGGGCGCACTCAGGGGAGGCACGGAGGAAGGCAGCCTCCACCTGCACCACCCACATCATTGTGGTGTCCATGATCTTCATCCCAAGTATTTACCTCTATGCACGTCCCTTCACCCCCTTTTCCATGGACAAGGCCGTGTCCCTCAGCCACACGGTCATGACCCCCATGCTGAACCCCATGATCTACACCCTGAGGAACCAGGAGATGCAGGCAGCAGTGAAGAGATTAGGGAAGCGCTGGCTGGTTTGTACAAAAGGGTGACAATGGGTAGGTCACTTCTCTTTGGCTTTACTTTCTATGTGTGAAGTGGAGAAAATGACTGTCTTCCTTCTTCATAGCTTTAGTATTGTAAACCTGCTTAGAGGTGTGATTGCATTTTGGGTAAAATTTCCAATGAAGTTTGAACACTACCATGCTAAAAATGTTGAAATGGAAAATATTGTGTTATATAAATATTTATCACAACAAGAGAAAAACCACCCTTGGAAATAAATGTTCACATGACTCCGGAAGCTACCACCTCTGCTTCTCCTCGTTCATCCTGAGGCCGTCCTCATGGGGTTTGGTGATTGCTCATTGAGTAGAATACAGGGTCTTCTCTCTGTTTGTAGGTCATTTCCTCTGTTCTTCGGTGTTAATTTTAATGTAGTTAGCTGTATCAATCTTTTATTTTATTAAAAACTCATTTTGGTTGCTTGCTTCAGCGGCACATATATTATAAAACTCATTTTGGAGTTTCATTTTTATAAAATGATTTCTTACATAGGAGGAAGCTATTCTTCTACATCGTTCATTTATTGGAAACTTCATTTGGAAACAATCTCAAACTTACAGAAAGATTGTTAATAATTTATCTAAAAACTTTTTTTTTTTTCCGGGAGTGTTTGAGAGTAACTCGTCAAGCTGATGTTTTACCATTCTGTAATCCTTCAGTGCGTGCGGACTATACTTTCCTATGTGTCTGCCATATCATTGTCAAAATCAATACAATAGCAATATATTATTACCATAAAGTCCTCAAACCCCATTTAGGTTTTGCCAAATGTCTCAATAAAGTGTTTCATAGGAAGATAACATAGTTTTGAATCACATGTTATATTTAGTCTTTATGTCTTTTTAGATGGGCCTGGAAGAGCTTCTCCTTGACTTTTGTAACCTTGACACTTTCAAAGATGATAGGCTAATCATTTCATAGAATGCCCCTCAATCTGGGTTTGCCTGAAGCGTCAGGATGTTATATTTGTTATATCTTTATCAGGAGTGTCACAGAAGCCATGCTGTGTTCTCCCCATTGCATCCTCTGAGGAGAGCATCATTTTTCTGTGTTTCATTATGATGTTGCTTACTTTGATGCTTTACCACAGTGGTCATTAATAAGCACTTGATGAGGAGGTACTTTGAGATTGTCCATATCTGGTACCTTACCAAATGTTCAATGTATCCCTTTATTTATTTCTATCTATATAGACTTAGGTTTTCCTCTTTTATTTATTGAGTTATAAACCATTACAATCATTATTCATTTTGATACTCAATATTTAAATTTGGCCACTGGAGTATCTTCAAACTGGCTTCTAGCTTCTCTTCATTCCTTGAGTACTTTGTCACTTTTTGGCACAAGATGATATCCCAGGTTTAGCTTGTACTTTCCCCCTGGAATCAATCATTGCTCTAAATAGCCCGGGTGCTTTTGAGTGTAGTGTGGTCCGTAGAAGCCAACATCTTGGTCCTTGGTGTGTCAAGTAATTAAGAGTTGCTACTTGTGGTATGCACACCCCCGCAGAGCATACATACACACACAAGATACTTTTAGAGCAATACTTTTTGACGATCTGCGTAAGCATTGACCAGCCCATGTGTGCACTGGCTGGGCCACTTACTCGTGGACTTTAAAAACACACAGTGTGATGTGAAATATCTCCATGGGAGCAGTGCACCTCCCCAATAAATTGTGTGCCACAGGAAAGAGGGGCCTCTCGTGGTTTGTGCATATGTTTAGTAAAGACTGTAAGCCCTGGCCAACACCAGGGACCCATAAGAAGCACCAGAAATACTGCTGGAGGGCTCCCTGGAAGCAGAGGGAAGTCATGACAGGACAAGAAACAGCTGAGTTGCTTGGCATGATGGAGATCTGCAGCTGAGTTTGTCTGCCACTTCAAGGTAAGTGAATCCAGCATAAGGACCACATGGTAAAGAGGAAGAGATTTATGACGCCGTCCCTGCAGCCATGTAGCAGGTGCAAAAACCTTGCGCATTTTGTGAAACGCCTTTTGATCTCCTATCAGAAATGCAACTTTTATGTAGTAGAGGTAGATAATACATATAGCATACAAAGTAGGTTTTAGTGGACTGTTGGTGTCAACGGTAAGGTCAACAGTAAGCCATGAGTAGTTAAGTTTTGGGGGACTTGAAAGTTATACTCAGAGTTTTGACTGCACCCGGTCAGAGGAAGAATCTTCATAACCTCCGGGGGCAACTGTCTACAAAGGGCACATTTACAAATATCATTACTGGGGTTCCAGGTCATACATGCATGGGTTTATTCCTGACAAAAATTGTCTAGACATGTCTCTGTGATCTGTGGATGGCTGCAGCCAAATTCTCCTAGCAATACACTTGTCTTGGTCTCATTAGGAGTTCTTAAAACGAAGGTCCAATCAAAACAGCAGCTTCCTAGGGGAATCTGCTGGATCAGTTAAGTCCGAGGCAGAGTGGCCAGCTCAGAAGGTGGTGGGGGCTGTTTCTGGGCATTCCAAAAGGAGAGATTTCCTCGCAGGGCACAGGATGACTGCGGAGACTCATTAGGAAGAAATTAGAAGAATATGGAAAAGTACAGTGGTGAGGGAAAGGCCAAGAAAGTGGTTTGAGAACATTTTTTCAATCAAGACAATGCACCTGTTCATTCTTTGAGAGTTTTGTTGGGTGGTCATTCGTGATATTACCCCTTCAGACTTCTTTTTGTTCCCCAAACACAAAATCCATTTAAAAGCTCCCTGATTCTTGACCCTGAAGGGTGCTCAAACTGTGGGGAGGCACAGTTTTTGCAGAGCGCACATTTCTTCTGGGAAGAAAGGGAAACACCCCTTTCTGAAGTGTATAGAACTAGATGTAGGATGTGCCTGGAGACAATAGTAGCTTCACAGTTTGAAATTTTTGTTGATAAAGGTTCAGTGAGGAACTTACTCCAGTATATATTGGATATTCCCATTATATACTAACTGAATGGATCTCCCTGTCAGCCTCTCATCTCCCATGGCAGCAGCATAGTTGCCTTTATCCCTCCCCAGATACCTTCCTCTGGCTTTGACATCTCACTCTGGGCCAGCCACCCTTCTTATCCCACTCATGCTCTGACACCCTACATCCAGTCCCTCTAGTAAAATGCCCAGTTTCTTAAACATCTTTTAATTTTAAAGAGTTCTTTCTTGCTATTTTTCTAAACATTTACTTTCTATTTGAGCCCTTAGTATCAGCTGATCTTTCTTCCCTCCCTTCCTCCTCCCTCATCACCTACTTGATAAATTATAAATTATTCTTTTCATATCTTACACCGACCAGTGTCTCTCTTCACCCACATTTCTGTTGTTCATCCCCCTCTGGGGGGTGGGGAGTGGAGTCAAGTTTAATTCTTGACTGCACCTAGTAAAATTGCGATTAAGTATTTTTAGAGTTTTTCTTTTTAAAAAAAACGAGGGAGCTTTTCTTTTCCACCAGCACACACCATCGTCCCCCAATAGTTCTGTTTTGTTACAGAGGACTTTCAGTTGAGGAGTAAATTGCTTTGGGGATATTTCAGAACTTCTTTCCCCTAATAAACTAAATGGGAACAAATTATTTATTGCATAAATGTCTCTGCGGATTCTTTTGGAAACTAAATGCAATACCGTACAGTATAATTTTTACCTATTTGGCCCACAGTAAAAACTGTCCTGAAAAATATGATGAGAACAGCCTGTGAGCTTACAGTTAATAGAATTGCCTTACCGCAAAAAAGATTTTGTCGTATATCCAAATAAACCACATGGGATATTAATCAGTATATGTTGACTGATTCGTGGGCATATGAGCCAGGGCTTAGCTTCTACCTCCTCCTTTTTCTCTTCGCCTCCTCCTGCATAACTAGAGGTAACTGTTTAATACAAGTTAGATTCAGGATAAATCACTCTCTGTAAACACTTGCAATTTAGGGTAAGTCATTGACTAGAGTTGGCAAAGAAATTTTATGACAGGAAACCTATATCATCAATTCAAAATTTATCCATGGAGGGGAGTCAAGATGGTTTCCAGGTAGAATCACCTGCCTGACACTCCTGTTGTTAGATCAGAAAATTAAGAGGTAAGGATGCCAATATTGAGAGTCTGGGTGCTAAAAATAGACTCAGTGCACTAGAGTCTGGTTCAAACCTCCCCCTGTGATTTTCACCCATGGGGTGATTCAAGGACTCGCTGAAACATGCTAAGTTCACTGCGTCTGTCCTCAGGCTCCGCTAATCCCTTACCAGATCCAGTGGAACAGCACCCACCACTCCAAGATAAACTGCACGCAAGATATGAGACTTGAAGCATGCAGTAATTTCCCCA